AAAAAAAAAAAAAGAACCACACACTCATACATACACAAACGCGGCCCCACATGAGCCGCGGCGGCTCCCGTACGCCGTTCAAATTGGCCCAACCAAGCCAATCGGAAGCAGCAGCGGTCGCACGTGGCCGTGCACCCGGGAGACCCTGGCCCCGCCGAGTTGGGTCACGTGACCAAAGGGTGAGCTCCTCTCTTGGCCTCTCTGGCCGGCCGGTCCTCCCATCGTCTCGTCTTTCTCAGCGGCTCTCACGTGGAAGCTCCAGCTAAGTTTGGCGGAACCTGGGACTTGGGCCGTGCAGTGGACACCGGAACCGCTCCGCCAGAGCCAGCTGCGGTGCCGGTCACCCGCTCTGAGAATTTAACTGCCTCCCTCTCCCCATCCAGAGGGTACTTGGTAGGAGTACGGTCTGTGTGCTCAAGTTGAGAGTAGAGGGAACAGCCGCGGGTGGACTTTATACCCCAGAGACCAAAAAAAAAATAAAAAGCCAGACAAAGGGAGTGCCGGAGACAGGCTCATCCTACCGCAGCCTCTGCTACATTTTACGTTATGTACTTCCCAGATTAAATTCCAGTTTACCAATTTTTACAGGGATATGAAAAAAACAAAGATGTAAAATTTTTAATGAAATGAACTAATAAAATAAACACTGGAGCAAATCGCCCCAATCTCTTTCCCCACTTGAAGCTGAATGAAGTGGAACGGCCCAGGAAATTTAGGGGAGAGCAGGGTCACAAAGAAGGCATTTTTGTGACCTTTGCGCCGCCGTAGGACAAAGTGGGCCCTCTTCCTCCAGGAAAGAGCTGGAGACCCAGTGCTCTGAGAACAACCCAGCCCTGCCCTGAGAGACTTCTTGGCCTCAGGAGAGGCACACGGTCAATTTTTGCCCCAGCCTGGAGGAAGGGGATCGGTTTCTCAGCCCACTTTCCGTTGACAAAGTCAGTCCTGGTTCCGTTCATTCATGAGAAACAGGTGCTTAAGACCCCTCTTGCCGAGCACTGGCTTGGGAAAGGTCGGCAGGCGCCGAGCTCCACCCGACAGTCGGGTTCCCTAAAGCAGCAGCCTGGATGCCCACCATAGCTGGCTGAATTGGACAGACATCCGACTGGGGAGACACGTGCGAGAAGACGCTGCCTACGCATGCGCAGTGGCCTTCCCTCGCCGGCACATATCTGGACTACAATTCCCTCCTGGCACTCGCGGCTATGGCTCTAGCTGAGACTCAGAGCCTGGGGATTTGTAGAGCCCTGGAGGTGGGCGTTAAATAGAAGAAAGGGTGAGGTTGAAGGGCTGGCACTATGTATATAGGTTTCCGGAAAGTATATGAACGGTGGGAATTTTTTGCTCAGGGTTGGGGATTGCCCCAGATAAGGGTCAGGTGGGGAGCGAGTTAGAGATGCAGGAGAGAATTTGTTAGGGTTCACCTCCCTTTTAACTCGTAAAGTTTCCAGCGACTCTGCACAAGCCTCGGGAGAGTGGGGATGGGGTAGAATAAAGTGGCCCCTGCTACCTGTATGGCCCACAGTACTGGTAAGTTTCCTCTCCCCAGCTGGTGGGTTTGAGTACTGAATTGGGACTCCTCACCCCATTTCTTAAGCTGTAAGGCAGTTTCTAAATGTAATTCTCACAACAGCCATGTGCATGGCAAACTTACTTCATCTAGAAGCTCTAGGGCAAAAAGACACTCAAGGAGCTGATGCCCAACTGTGAATCTGAGATGGCAGACAAATGCCTATCACTTTACAATAGCCTCTCTGCCTGTGCATCTCATCACACTGAGCCAGCTTTAATGGTCAGCATTTCTCAAACATGACCACCAAACACAAGCCAGTTGCTTCACCCTGGAAAGCAATGACAGCTGTTCGAAATGTCAGGGTTACCATTGACTATATGAACATTAGAACCTGACTCTAGAGATGCTTCTGCATTTTACACCTATTTTATAGATGAAGAACCTGAGCCACAGAAAGGCTAAGTGACTTACCCAAGATCAAACTGCTAACAGACATCAGAATAGTTTGAAGCCAAACTATTTGACTCACCAAAACCTGAAATCTCCTTTTCCTCCCCCTTCAGACTTTCCCCAGGTCCGAGCTGGTGAGCACCATGAAGGGAGGTGCCAGGACTCCATCAGCTCCTTCTGCCGCTTGACACTTCAGAATAGAAGCTGAGCTGCTGCAGGGGCGACCTACTTCTCCCACGTGTTTCTTTTTAAAGCTCCAACCACTGCTGATGGCTTCCAGGGAGTAGGAAGTAGTAGTGGCTCCATGGGCTATGTCCCCTCCCCCCACTAGTCACACTTGGGTCAGCTCAGCTTCCCCAAAGTAGGAAGCCAGTCCATCCTTGCTGCCTGACAGTCACTGTGGGGAAGAAACATCTGCACAGCATGTTTCAAGGGACCTGGTGTATATGGCATACTGTTCTTTATATGTTTGCTCCCCTTCTTGGCGCTATGTGTTTTAACCAAGGTCACCTCTCCGAGAAAAGTTATTTCCCCAGATAGGGATTTTTCCCTGAAGTTAGGGAGGGAATAAAACCCCTTAACTAAATGCCAGGCGGGTAGTCGAACCATCACCCTTAAGCTACATCATCTTTACTCCCTGGAATGGAAAAAAAGAAACGCCCTAACCTTTGAAATAGAAATTGACAGATGTAACAAGACAATAAAAGACAGAACTTGGCTGGAGATCCTGGCTAGGCTGCTGATCAACTGAACACTGTCTCCGGGTCATTTCTTCTTCTTCACCGACTCCGTCCACACCTTTGGGGACCCCTGGATCTTGCTGGGGTTAGACCCCAACACCTTGGGTCAATGTAAAAAAATAAACCAGCCCTAGCCGGTTTGGCTCAGTGGTTATAGCCAAGGGATAGAGGATTGGCCTGTGGACTAAAGGGTCCAGGTTCGATTTCGGTCAAGGGAATGTACCTCAGTTGCAGGCTCCTCCCCAGCCCAGGCCCTTATCAGGTATCTGCAGGAAGCCATCAGTTGATGTCCCGCTCTCACATAGATGTTTGTTTCTCCCGCTTCCACTCTCTTAAAGTCAATGGAAAAATATCCTTGGGTGAGGATTATAAACAAAATTTTAAAAACCAGACTTTATTGTGTATTAGCAGGAAATGAGAGAGGGTATGTCTCCTGTTCCAAAGTCTGCTTGCTTCAAGTCAGGGATGGTTTCAGCTTGAGGTTTTTGTACCTGCAGTTCTTTCCACCTGGAATACTTCCAGACGCTTAACTGCCAATCCCACCTTCTTCAGAACTTGGGACAAATGCCACCTTCTCAGGGAGGCAGGCCATCCATGACCTACTTAAAATCGCCATCTCTTCCACTCATATCAGTCCCCCTTTCATACCCTACCCCAAATGTATAACCATCTGATGTGTCCTGTTTGTTTCTTGTCTGTTTTCCCCAACTAGAATGTTAGCTCCACTAGGACAGGGAGTTTTGTCTGTTCTGGTGCTCCAACCCAACTCCCACAGGCTGGAACCCGGCAACAGGCTGCCCTCTCCCAGGAAGGACCGCTGCTATCTGCCCTTCCTCCCTCTGCCTCCACAGGTTCCAGTGACCACCGTGATCCTCCAAGCCCTGCTCTTCCCCTGATGGAAGGGGTACAGGAACCTGGCCATGGGATAGACTGGAGTGCTGAGCTGCTCAGCGTTTGGGCCACATTGGGGATCCCAGGTCTATGAGGTTTGAGAAGAGGTTGGAAGGCAAGGGCATCATAAAACATTCCAGCTCCACCAGGATTAACAAAGGGGCCAGGAGGGCATTAGAGGGGCACTAGGGAAATAAGACTTCCTTTAGGACACCCTGTCCCCTAACATGTCAGTAGTCATGCCTGCAAGATGGGACAAACAAGTCCATGTGCTCCTTCTGTGTATTCCTTTTCCTGATCATATATATAGCCGGCGGGGTCAACCCCAGCCGCTCCTGTTGATATAAAACAGTGTGTTGCTCCTTAGCTCAAAACCCCCAACGGCTTCTTCTCACCAAGAATAAAGTCCCAAGTTTCTACCCTAACACACAAGGCTCTCTATGTAATCCACTCACGCTTCTCACTCACCTGGCTTGTCATATGGGCCTCTTCAAAGCTCCCCATAAGGGCCAGGCACTCTCTGGCCTGTCTTTACGCTGGCTGTTCCCTCCACCTAGAACTCATTTCCTCACCTCACTCAGGTCCCTGATCGTATGTCAATGAAAATAGACACCCTTCCCCAGCCTCTACCCTGTACTTCTTCACAGGCACCTCCCCAAATGGCTTCCCCTTTGTTTCCTTCCACAAGGGCAGGGAGCAAGCATGATCAGTTCTGCTCATAGCTGTAACCCCAGCCCAGGCACAGAATAGGTACTCAATGTCTGTTGAATACAGCTTTGGCCCAGCCAAATGGGACTGTGAAGAGAACCTGAACATCAGGAGCAACAGTGGGGGGTACAGTCAGGGGTGGGGGGAAAAGGGTCCTAGGGAAGAGTCCAGGCCTACTGACGGGGCCATACCCCCATCCTCCCCAGACCCCGAAACCCCCCTCACCAGGCCAAATCCACACTTTGGAAAGTGTAGCAGGGGAGGCTTTAGGTTGGAAGGAGCAAAGAAGGCAACCAAGCACACAGCTCCGGCACTAAGTCAAGTTCTTTACTTCCCAGAAGTGATGGCTAAGGGAAGGAGGAAGGGGAGGGCGAGAAAAGGAAGACAGAAAGAGCCAGAGAGAGCAAGGAGGTGGGAAGAGAGGGGACAGTAAACCACTGTTCTATGAAGTCTCAGGAGGCAAGTGCTCAAGGTAAAAAAGAGTCCTGGAGGATCGTCCGCGGCTGCGGGAAGCATCTTGGTTTCCTTCTGTGTTTAAGTCCTTGGGGGGAAGGGCTGCCGCCACCGCCGCTGCCACATTAAATAGTTATGTACATCGCAGAGAGTCCCAGGCCGTGGGCAGACGGGGGAAGGGGGTCATTTCACCAGGGGCCGAGTTTTATCATCATCGCCGCACTGGTGGGCTTTGTACTTTTTCACTTCTGCCATGTACTTGGCCCATGCATCACCTTTACTTGTTAATACCTGTGGGGAGGGGGGCAGGGGCACACAGGAGGTTGGGAAGGGGATACCAGGGAGGCCAGGAACTGGGGTCAGGACTGTCCTGAGACAGCTGACCCACCCCCAGTACCACCACCCAGAGGTCCTGGATTTGAGGTAAAGATATTCAGAGTCAAGTTATCTGGGGACCTTGTTGAAAGCCCTCCTCCCTCACCCAGTACCCCCACATCCAAGGTCCAGATGGACAGGGAGGGACAGGGCTGGTTAGCCAGGTGCTGAGGCTGTTAAGGAAAGGCCGCATGGGTAGCCCCCAAACCTGGCCTGCTCACCTCATCCTCCGTCTTCTGCTTCTTGGCTACTATTCCCGTCTTGAGGGCTAGTTTGTTTCCGCCTCTGCGCTTGCCCACCTGGGTGAAGGGACAGAAGACTGCAACGGTTACAGGAGTCGGGCCCGCCCTTGGCGGCGCTGAGGCCCACTACACCTTCCTAGCCCGGCCCGGTGGCCCGTCCTGACGCCGCGCCCAGCTCCGCCAGCCGGCCAACCTGCGCAGCAATCAGAGAGGAGCACACGCAACTCTTAGCGCCTGCCCTGGGCCAATGATACCCAGGCAGTCTTGGGCCCCCATGATGCCCTCCCAGGGAGCGAGAAGAACCCCCACACCAGTGGGGACAGGCTCCGTCCTCACTCTCCATGCTGAGGCCTCACCCTCCCCTAGCAGTGACCACGCAGGCAACAACAGCTCCTTTTATTAAGCACTTACTGTATGCCAAGCCCTGTGCCCAGTGCTTTGCATGTATCACCTCTTTTCACTTTCATAGTTACAACCATACCGATTTTATACATGAGGAAATATTTTTGAGAAGGATAGGCCTGTATCCTCGGTCATGTTGCCAGCAAACAATGGGACTGAATTAGGGTCGAGTGGGTCCAAGACACCGAGCAGCATCCTTAACCACCAAGCCACACTGTGTCCCTGAACCTAATCTGGCCTGGCCTCGTGGAGGGTGCTCCCGAAACAGCCCCTCAGTGAATAAATGAAACAGCAGGGACCACTACGCACACTCAGCTCCTGGCATTTCCCTTCCTCAAACAGAAGCCTCCCTCCGGACTCTTGTCCTGGGCCTCCATCTGCTCCCACTGACTGAGGCTTCCCGTGCCCCACAGGCAGCAACCAGCCTGAAAGGGATCATCCTATCTCTCCACCCATCAACCAGGCATTCAGGGACCTGCAGAGCTGGGACTAGTAGTCTCACACCCATTTTTGGTGGATGAAGAAACTTGAACCCCAGTCTGTTATTCTCTCAAATTTTGGTATTGTTTTCCCACACCACAGGGCCTTGATCTCAACACCTGAGACAAAGCAAGCTCAGAATGGAAAATCAGTATAGATGCCATTTATTTAAACCAAAGTCTCTCAATCTAGCACTAACGACTTGTGGAGCTGGATCACTCCTTGCTGGGGAATCTGGAGTGGGGGTTCGAGGAGGGCTGCCCTGTGCATTTGAACAATGTTGAGCAACATCCCTGTCCCTGATCTCCCCGCAGATGTCAGCAGCACCCTCTGCCCCAGTTCTGACACCGAAAATGTCTCCAGGCTTCCCTAAATAGGAAGAGCATCTCCAATTGAGAAGGACTGACCACGGCTGGGTCACTCTTTGGTCAGAGCATGGACCCAACACGCCAAGGTTTGGGGTTTGATCTTGGGTCAGGGCACGTACAAGAACCAACCAATGGATGCATCAATAAGTGGAACAACAAATCACTGTTCGACTGTCTCTCTCTTTCTCTCTCTCTTCCCTTTCCTAATTTAAAAAAAAAAAATCTGGTTTTTTATTTAACTTAAAAAAGTAAAAAGAGGACAACTGGTCTAGCCCTTTCTATCAGACAAGCCCCATGATCCTTTTCCAGGATGGCCTCACTGAATTCTCATCACATCAGAAGAGGAGATGTCCGTTTTTCCCAATACAAAAAATAAAGGCAGGCCATCACAGACGCTCCAGGAAAGCAGCGATCGTGCCCGCCTGGTTCACCCGGGCACAGCCAACGCCTAGCACAATGCCCAGCACCAGGTAAGGGGCTCAACAAACGGACACTGGGCGAATGGGGCTCAGGGAAGCTAAGCAAATCTCCTAAGGCCACACAGCGGGCGGTCCGAGTGTCTAATCCACACATCTGAGACTCCAGGTTTGCATTCGCTCCCCTCCGAGCAGGGGGAGACGGTCCCAGTATCCACAGTTATGGCACCAAACAGGCATCCTGGTTTCCCCATTCCCGGCTCCCGGTCCTCACGGGCAGTCTACGGGGAAGCCTACCCTCGCCCCCAAACCTCTCTCGTGGGGAACCCAGGTTCCGCATCTCCGGCGAGAGACCTGGATGTAGCCCTCCTCGGGCCGGAGGGTGGCCCCGGCTCCCGATTCCCTTTCTCGGGCCCGATTCCCGCTGCCAAGGGAGGCCCTGGCGCCCTCCCCCACCCCCGCGGCTCCTTACGAAGCTGAGCGTGGGGCCCGGGCCGCCCTTCCTCTTCGGATCC